CCCCTGTTGTTAGTCACTAACAGTCCCCATTAACAACTATTCATCCTCCCAGCCTGATCGTTAGCAACTCCTCTCTCTGTCCAACTGTCTTTCTCTCTCTTTGGGCTCTATCCTATCGTTTACTCCCTACCCCACCCACCTCCCTATTTTCTGCATATAATCTGAAGCTTTCCCAGCCACCATCAGTTCTGAGGAAGGGTCACCGGACCCGAAACGTTAACTCTGTTTTCTCTTTCACAGATGCTGCCAGATCTGCTGAGCTTTTCCAGCAACTTTGTTTTTGTACTTTAAAGTTTACACCAGTGCATTTTCACTGTAAATTGCAGTTACGTGTTTTAGCTTTAATTCTGACAGAAAACACCTCTGATAACAATCTCTTTAAAAAATTTTGCCAGCTAAAAATATTTTTAATGCTCCTCGGATATTATAAATGGTTCAGTATCCTGTTTGTATCATATAGGTGATCGAGAAACATTGGCTTCCAATTTCTCATGTGTTCTCTATAATCATTCAGCCATGAATTGTACATGGTATTGTGGCAGGAAAGCACCAAATGACACGCAATATAAAATGTATTACAGGTAAGCTCAATTAGGTTTTATCACCATTTTAAGTGAGTGTCCCTTTATTCTGTAACTGTGTTCTCTGAACATAGAACATAAAAAAGTATAGCACAGTACAGGCCCTTCAACCCACGATGTTGTGCCGATCTATTATCCTACTCTAAGATCAAACCACCCTGCATACCCTACATTTTACTATCATCCTCTGGATCAAGATTCTCCCCTCCAGTGTAAACATCTCGGCATCTTCCCTGTCAAAACCCCTCAGAATCTTACGTGTTTCAATAATTTGTTTACTTAAATTAGAGTGAATAAAGGTCTAACTGGGACTCTGGGTCTGTTCTCGATGGAGTTTAGAAGGATGAAGGGGAGTCTCATTGAAGCTTGTGGGATGCAAAAAGACCAGCATAGAATGGGCATGGAGAAGATATTTACTTGTAGGAGAGACCAGGACCCTAAAGCACAGCCTCGGAGTAAAAGGACAACCCTTTAGAAGTAAGATGAGGAGGAATTCCATTCGCAGAGCATGGTGAATCTGTGGAATGCAGTACTGCAGACGGCTGGAAAGGCCATTGAATGTATTTAAGATACTGATAGATAAGTTTTTGATTATTAAGAGCATCAAGGGTTATGGGGATAATGCAATGGAATGGGGTTGAAAAACATATCAGCCATGATTGAATGCCTGAGTAGATTCAATGGGCACCAGTAGCCTAATCCTGCTCCTATATCTTCTGGTCTTATGACTTAAGCATCAAATGTGAGTACGCAGTAAGTTAAAACATCTCCAAATCCATAGTTAAGTTTTGAGGCGGTTCACTGGACTTGAAATGTTAACTGATTTTTTCATCACAGATGCTGCCAGAGCTTTTCCAGCAACTTCTGTTTATGGTCCTGATTTACAGCATCCGCAGTTCTTTCAGTATCCATTGTTAAGTTGTTTACATTAATTACAAATGTTTTCTCTTAAGACAGAATGATGCAACTCTGCAGTGTACACATTATATGGATGTCGGTGGAAGGCAGGAATGCCATATTGATCAAGGCACAGTTGATGTTGAGGAGAACATTCTGATATGTGTCAATGGATCTAGTAATTCTCGAATGATTCAACAATATTATACAGAATTTGACCCACAAGTATATGGTACTAAACAGCATTTTTCTAAACGCAGTGTTTTAAGGTTTGTCAATTGCTGTTTTGCTCATTGCATTAAAAGGTTCGATTGATTGTGAATAGTTTTGTGTCCTTAACTTTCAGAGGTGTACAACCCACCAGTAAATCTTGAGGTTTTGCCAAATCTGACGGTGAAATGGGACATGCCTCCCGGCTATGCCATTAATATTGATTGCTTTGCATTTGAACTGAACGTCACTGATCAGGATGAGGGTAGAACTGAGGTAAAGTGCCACCTCTGTCATTCTCTGAATTGCTAACAGTTGAAATATTTTTAAATCCACCATTGTTTACAGATGATTTAAGTAGAGATTACAGGTCTAATACACTGATTGTATAAAGGGAAGTCTGATTTCACAATATAAACTTGTCCACCAATTACAAGGCCCAAGCTAGAATTGTGATGGGATACCACGCTACTTGCCTGAATGGGCACAGTTCCAACAAAACTCAAGAAGCTTGACACCATCCAGGTCAAGACAGCCCTCTTGATTGGCACTACATTCACAAACTCCCTCCACCACTGATTCTCAGTAGTATCAATCTACATGGAGTCATAGAGTCATTCAGCATGAAAACAGTCCCTTCGGTCCAATCAGTCCATGCCGAACATAATCCCGAACTAAACTAGTCCCACCTGCCTGCTCTTGGTCCATACCCCTCCAAACCTCTCCTATTCATGTACTTATCCAAAGGTCTTTTAAACATTGTAATTGTATCCACATCCACCACTGCCTCAGGAAGTTCATTCCAGCTGTGAATCACCCTCTGTGTAAAAAATCTGCCTCTCGTGTTTTTTTTAAATCTCTCTCCTCTCACCTTACAAATGTGCCTCCTGGTCTTGAAATCCCCCATCCTAGGGAAAAGAAAACTACCAGTAACTCTGTATATACCTCTCATTATTTTATAAACTTCTATCAGGGTAACTCTCAACCTCTTAGGCTATAGTGGAAAAAGTCCCAGCCTATCCACCCTTTCTTTATAACTCCAACCATCCATACCTGGCAACATCCTGGTAAATCTCTTCTGATACATGATGCACTGCAGAAATTCACCAAAGATCCTTAGTCAGCACCTTCCAAACGCATGGCCACTTCCATCGAGGACAAAGGCAGAAGATACGTGGGAACACCACCATTTGCGAGTTCACCTCCAAGCCACTCACCATTCTGACTTGGAAATATATCATTGTTCCTTCACTGTCACTGGGTCAAAATTATGGAACTGCCTCCCTAAAGGCATTGTGGGTCAACCTACAGCACATGGACTGCAGTGGTTCAAGAAGGCAGCTCACCACACCTTCTCAAGGGAAGCTAGGGATGGGCAATGAATGCTGGCCCAGCCAGCAACACCCACATCCCATGAGTGAATAAATTTGTAAAATAAGAGCCTGAGAAAGGAGAAGCCACAATTAACAGGAAATAGAACTAAAAGAGAACAGAGGCCTGTGAATGTTTTGTGCTGCTCCCAATATTGTGGCCATTGATCTTGGGGGATCAGGTGCACGTACATCTCTGTATTTCACCCAATCTGTGTTGCCACAGAGCAATGATCCATAGAATCTGTTAAATTCAAATCACATTACCTTCTATAGCACAAGATCAAGCCATTATGTCCTTTAGATCCATTTGGTCTTTAAGCTCCACACAAACCTTCAACTATCATTCTTAATTTCACCCTAGCAGCATTTTAACATTTACCTGTTTCCCTCATGTTCCTATCTAGCTTCATCTTAAATGCATTTGTGCTGTTCTCCAAGTCAGAACTCCGGTGAAACCTCCCGTTTATGCTAATTCCCAAACAACTTCTCCTTTCCCTCAATTGGCAGGAGACTGACTGATTGATTGAACGCCTACAGGATTTCAGAGCCAATAGCTCTCTCTCTCTACACGTGTGAATCAGGGAAGGCATGCACAATATCGAATCCACTATAAAATCAGACAGCACAGATAGAAGCCATTCAGCCCAGTATGCTAGTACTAGCTCTTTGACAGACCACAAGATAAAGCAAAGTGTGCACCCAGAATACTGTTAAAAGTTATCGTAGAACTTCCATATTTTTAAGACAGCATGCTCCTGATCATCATACCTCTTTGAGTAAAAGAAAACAAGAACTGCTTCTTATTTCTTCTCTGGCTTCTTTACAGGGATTTTTAGTACACATGCGCGCGCACACACACACACACACACACAGACACACACATACACGCACACATAGACACAAACATGCACACAAATCCACACCCACACCCACACTCTCTCTCTCTCTCACACACACACACACACACACACAGACACACACACTCTCTCTCTCTCTGCATCACTAACTGTTTTGTTCCAGTTCTTCACTTGCCGATATGAAACAAAGTATGTCCTTGTAAACATCAAGCCCACAACACGTTACTCAGTGAAAGTAAGAATGAAACTGAAGCATTGCAAAGAAACAAAGTTCTGGAGCCACTGGAGTAATGAGGTTTTTATCGGTAAGACCCCTATCTTCCTATTTCTCATGAATCTGTGTTGATTGTCATGTGTAATGGGCGTTCCGTTTTGTAGCATGGATTGTGGGTTTTTGAAACATGGAAGTTTTTTTTAATCACTGATGCCAGTGAGATTGTGGGCTCATTTCTATTTTTATTTTTTTTGTTTCTCCAACACAGACTTCCCCAGTGGAGTCAGGAGCCACAATTTTGGGGGTTGCAAGTTCCGAGAGGCCGAGGCTGCCCTGGAGGCCTGAAATGAGGATGTGATCTTATTGTTGTGCACACTGCCCACACCTGATGTGGCTTACAGGAGAACCACATCAAATTGAACTGTGGGACACATTAATGTAATGCTGGCATGCTACCATCAGCATTCCCACATAGCTAGCCCAGTGGACATCAATAAGATCGATTGGCTTGAACACTGGCTGAGAATCTCCAGGGAAACCAGGGAGCAAGGACTCTGGGGTGCATCAAGAGAGGTGGAGCAAACCACGGATGCAAAAGTAATTTGTAAAATGCAATCATGCTCCTCCTGACTCCAACAAAATGGAGTAACGCAACTCAAAACTTCCCATTCAGGTGGCAGCCTCTACTGTTACCTCTCAAGTTTGCTGACTCCCAGGGCAAAGGTGCATGGACTGTGTTTTAGTCCTACTCAGTTAAATTTTATTAAGGGTTGGGCAGGCATAGCAATGTGCAGGCACACAGACTCCCAAAGCACTAAATCCAATTAGAAATTTCTTGTGTGGAATTACTGAGTGCTCTCTCCCTGACATATTGGAGCCTTCACATGTTTTATTTCTGCAATGCTGCAGAGCATCATTACGTTTCTCAGGCCATATCTTTAAATGTATTCACCTTTGTCAATTTTTACGATAGGTCTCATTGCAATGCAATTTTTTTTTGAAATATCTTTTGAATCAATTAATATTATTTGTGATCAATAAAAACTGCCTTGTTTATTTACAGAACCTGTCCAGGTGCCTAACGTTTATTGGATGCTGATTACATTGGCCATATTGGTAGTGGTGCTAGGATTGATTCTAATGTTTGTTTTCAAAAGGTAATTATCCATCCAAATGTTCGATTGGGTTGTAGCTAGTTGTTCCAGCTCTGGTCCTGATAGCATTGACTGGCATAGGGTTTAGCTCCAAATCTGCTTCAACTGTCCTGTGCCTCACTAATGCTCAGGGTGCCTGAGGATCAGCAGGATTATACTGGAGCTTTGGTGTGAGACCAGCAAAACCCCAAGAGACGCATCTTAGCACAAACTGTTCATCTGGGAGGGGGAGAGGGTGCCATCAATCTCCAGTAAACTTCTCAGTTTTCCCTGGAATCTACTGATACCCCTCATTAACTTGGAGAAACTTGAATAGAATTGCTGTATTCTCTCTGCCCAGCATCACAGTGAGTGGGCAACTCACAGTGAGCATCATGAGCCAAACTTGCTTGAGAATCCCTACAGTATGGAAATGAGCCATTCAGTTCAAAAAGTCCACACCAACTCTCTGAAGAGCATGCCACACAGACTCACCCCCCTACCCTATCCTATACCAGTACCTGCAATTCTCGTGGTCAATCCACCTAACCTGCTCATCTGTGGGCTACATGGACAATCTAGAAGGGCCAGTCCGCCTAACCTGCACATCTTTGGACTGTGGGAGGAAAAGCAGAGCACCTAGAGAAAACCCACACAGCCACAGGGAGAATGTACAAACTCCACACAGGCAGTTGCCTGAGGGTAGAATTGAACTTGGGCCCCTGGTGTTGTGAGGCAGCTGTGCTAACCACTGAGCCACCATGACACCCCATCTGCTTTCCCCTACTTGTTCTTTGTATCAGGATGCCACATTGCCTTGGATACTTACCTCTCAATCCACATTTTATTCCTTTTGTTTACTTTCACCACCCTTATCAATCCCTTCAAGTACACTTTCTTCAAATCTTTACTCTGTGTTCAAAGCTAACTGGCTTCGTTCAACATACTTCAGGCAGTTTACAGTTTACTTGGCTGTGAGCTAAGAATGTTAAATTTGATATGATGGGAGCAATTTGTTCCATTCAGCTTTCTCCTGCCCCTGGTCATACACAATGTGTTTCATCTTGTATTTGCCCATTTTTTTGTGGAAGGCAATTAAGAAAAAGCTCTGGCATGTAATTCCCTTTCTCCCATGGGTAACTGAACAGAATTTGAGAATATCAATCCAGATTCCAAACCAACTTGACAACTCCAATCAGCTGTGATCCACAAATAATTGGTCTTGTCCATTGCAAATGTGTAACCCTACTATCTGTGAAGTATTTGACGATCTTTGTCAATTCTCATAACCTTCATTCTTCAAAGCTTGAAATCTGCTGCAGACAGAGGGATTGGGGAGGGAATATACAAGGGTGGTAGGGTATCTACTGACACAAAATTACGAAAGAGCTAAGCTTGCAGTGCACTTTTTATGGCCTCCAGTTCTCTACATTGGATCTGGGATATTAAAGTCACTAAAAGTTTACTGTTGAATCAGAGATAGTAGGAACTGCAGATGCTGGAGAATCCGAGACAACAAGGTGCAGGGCTGGATGAACACAGCAGGCCAAGCAGCATCATAGGAGCAGACAGGCTGACGTTTCGGGCCTAGATTGTGATTCCCTGTAGCCTCCTATCACTACAGTTCAAGAAACATCTTATTGGTTGTGAAGAAGTTTATGAGATGATTGATAGTACTTTATAAATGCAAACCTTTCTTATTCTGATTTTCTCTCTCTTTCAGTTACCTTTTTGTATGCTAACTTTCTCTCTCCATCAGATCTCCACTTCCTTATAAGGATGGTCAAAATTGAGAGTAGAAGCAAACACAGAGAATGCAGGAGAAACTCAGCAAGACTGGCAGCTTTGTTGGGGAGTGAAACAGAATTAAGATTTTGAATCCAGTATGACTCTTTTTCAGAAGATGTTGGTGCCTGCTGGGATGAAAATCTCTTCAGGTTTGACATCTGTAAGGCTAGTAAAACGAGATGGGATTGATCAGGTACAATCCAGTTCTCCTGAAACAGTTCCACAGAGCAGAACTGCCCATTATTTTGTCCCCGTTGGCACAAACTTATTCCTCTTGCCATTTAATATGTTCAATGGTAATCCTCTATCTATCACAACATTGTAATTCTGCGCTCTCCTTTGACACAGTAAGTACCTAGAAATCTATCTATTTCTTCTTTTGTTTCAAAGAATAATTGGGAAATGGAAAAACCATTTCAGTGAAACATTGGGTATTTGTCTAAGTTTGTCCAACGTAGAAGCAATTTTGCATTATAAATGCATTTTTTGGCTTGATTTGGAAGAAATTGGTGCTGACAGTGGTTGAAGAAGTGGAGAAATAATCAGACCTTGATGAGTATAAATTTTCCAATTTTGTTTTGAATTGTTTGAAAGGATGAATGTTTGTTATTATAATTTGGCATGTTACATTTTAAAATTAAGTGATCTGTGGTTTCACAAGCAATCCAAATGATCTTTACTGACAAAACTCATACCTAGCAGTCAAGACAATTCATGTTACCGTGATGAAATTATTGGGTGGCGAAACAAGCTTAAGAGGCTATTGAAAGGCCGATACATATATTTGATCCCAGTAGATCTTCCTTGTGTGCAGTTTTGGTCTCCTTACTTGAGAAAAGATATACTAGCACTGGAGGGGGTGCAGAGGAGATTCACTCAGTTGATTCCAGAGCTGAGAGTGTTGGATTATACTCATTGGAATTCAGAAGAATGAGGGGAGATCTTATAGAAACATATAAGATTATGAAGGGAATAGATAAGGTGGAGGCAGGGAGGTTGTTTCCGCCAGCAGGTGAAGCTAGGACTAGAGGGCATTGCCTCAAAATAAAGGGAAGCAGATGTAGGACTGAGGTCAGGAGGAACTTCTTCACCCAAAGGGTTGTGAATCTGTGGAATTCCCTGCCCAGTGAAGCAGTTGAAGCTACCTCGTTGAATGTTTTTAAGGCAAGGCTGGATAAATTTTTGAACAGTACAGGAATTAAGGGTTACGGTGAGCGGGCGGGTAAGTGAAGCTGAGTCTCAAAAAGATCAGCCATGATCTTATTAAATGGCAGGGCAGGCTCGAGGGGCCGGATGGCCTACTCCTGCTCCTAGTTCATATGTTCTTATGTTCTTGGCAAAAATCACCCCTAACCTCCTGTTCTGAATGTACTCACTCTGTCCTAATCCCAGTCTTCCTCTGTTCTCTTTTATTAATTCATGGCATCTGGGCATTACTGGCCAGGCCAGTATTTATTACCCATTCCTAATTGGCCAGAGTGTCAACCACATTGCTGTGAGTCTGGAGTCACATGTAGGCCAGATCGGGTAAGGACAGCAGATTCCTTCCCTAAAGGACATCAGTGAACCAGAGATAGTAAGAACTGCCGATGCTGGAGTCAGAGATAACACAGTGTGGAGCCGGAGGAACACAGCAGGCCAGGCACCATCAGAGGAGCAGGAAAGCTGGCGTTTCGGGTCAGGACATTTCTTCAGAAAAAAATCTGCTGAAGAAGGGTCCCGACCCAAAACGTCAGCTTTCCTGCTCCTCTGATGCTGCCTGGCCTGCTGTGTTCCTCCAGCTCCACATTGTCTTATTAGTGAACCAGATGTTTTTTTATCATGCACCCCCTCCCCTGACAATCAGCAATGATTTCATGGTCATCATTGCACTCTTAATTCCAGATATCTAATTGAATTCAAATTCCACCATCTGCCATGGTAGGATTCAAACTTGGTTCCCAGAACATTTTCAGGTCTCTGGACCAACAGTCTGGAGATACTACCACTAGGTCATCACATCCACTAAGTGACCGTGAACCAGAAGTGGGTTCTCACAGATTGCTAGACTGTGAGGAATCATACTTGTGTGCAGTTCTGGAATCCACATTATAGGAGAGATGTGATTTCACTGGAGAGGGTGCAGAGGAGGTTTACCAGGATGTTGCCTGGGCAGGAAAGCTCCAGTTATGAAGAGAGATTGGACAGACTATGGTTGTTTTCCTTGGAGCAGAGGATAGTGAGAAGGGACATGATTGAGATGTATACAATTATGAGGGGCAAAGATATAGCAGGAAGAAACATTTCCCCATGATGGAAGAATGAATGACCAGGAGGCATAGATTTAAGGAAAGGGGCAGAAGGTTTAATGGAGGCGTGGGGAAGAACTTTTACACCTAGAGGTGGTGGGAATCTGGAACACAATGCCTGTTATAATGGTAGAAGCAGAGACCCTCATATCATTTAAGGAGTATTTAGATGTGAACTTGCCATGCCAAGGCATACAAAGCTATGGATCAAGTTCTAAAATAATTAAAATAAAATAAAGAACTTCAGATGCTGGAGATTTGAAATACAAATAGAAATTTCTGGAGAACCTCAGCAGTTCTGGCAGCATCTGTGGAAAGAAAGCAAGGTTAGTGTTTTGAGTCCGATGACTTTGAGTTCCGATGGAGAATCACCAGATTGGAAAGGTTAACTCTGCTTTCTCTCCCCAGGTGCTGCCAGACCTGCTGAGTTCTTCCAGCAATTTCTGCTTTGTGTTGGAATAGTTAGGTGGTTGTTTTTGACCAGTACAGATGTGATGGGCCGAAGGTCCTTTTTCCATGCTGTAGATCTCTAAGATTTCATGACTTGAGTTCAGTTCACTGAAGGGTTCATAATTTGGCTGTAAATTTTAACAACCCTGGTTGTATTCCATTTCCTAGCCCAGGGTCACTGAGATCTCTAAAATGAACACTGGATCAAAGCCCCCAGCTCACAAAATGCTGCTGTTAGAGAAACATAAGAAGTAAGAAGAGGAGTAGGACATTTAGCCCATCAACATCTCTCACCATTTAATATGCTCGTTGCTAATCCTCTAAGTCAACAGTATAATTTTGCTCTCTCCTCTGATGCCTTGTGTCTAGAAATCTATTAATTTTTTTTGAAGTGTACTGCAGAATTCAGTATGGTTAAACTAATCTAAAGTATTTTCTCATTGCAGTAGTGTATAAATCATGTTATCTTAATTTGTATTTCAAATCTGTGTTAGCAAACAAAAGGGTACATTTTGACTTTGCGGGATGGCATTTAATGAATGTAAGTGAATTGGCAGCTTATTTTACAGCTTTCCCATTGACGTCAATGGAGAGAATAACGGAGTGAGATCAGAACTGGACTTTGACCTGATATCACTTTTTTCTTTTCTATCGGACAAAGTCACAATCTACCCCAAATGCTCTTCTTTATTTATTTACAAAATAGTACAAAGTGAATGTGGATTGAATTAATGTATTGAACATTTTTAGGTACAGATTATTGGAAATTGTACTCAAACCAATTCCCAGTCCTCAAAAGAAGTTCAACGCATTGTTTGAAGAATACAATGGTGATTTCCAGGTAGGCAGGTGCTAATGAAATGTAGTTTGCTTCATAGCATTCAAGTGTAAATCTCCCAAATATTTTTGGCTAATGTTGCATTTTATGTTTTGCCTTCAAGTGGAAAATCTTCAATTTCTTAAATAATTCCTTTCCAAGCATGCAGTGTACATTTTCAACAGTGACTTAATCAGTAGCTCATACGCATAAGTGAAAATGGAAGGGTCTACAAGCTATCACTTTCTCACTTGCAGCCTTCCAGCTGGAAATTAACATGGAGCCTATCTGATAATCCAAATACCAGAGGCCTCAGGGTTCAAACCATTTATTGCTGCTATGTTCAACACAAAAAAAAGGAACACAATTGAGGATGCAGGATTAATGGAGAACATGTTTGTCTTGGCTATACAAGTGGTATTCTGGCAAAGTGGGTTACTGACAAGTTATAGACCCCTGTCCAATTTATATCCCATCCCTAAGCATATAGATGCACTGGTAATTACAGAGAATTGGCCAAAGTACGAGAGCCAATGAGAGGAAAATGTTCTGTGCAGCCAGCTGTATGCATCTCCATTGTATAGCCTAAAAGGATGGTGAATGCAGATTCACCATTACGCTCAAAGGTACATTGGCTAGATATTTGAATGAGGTGGAAAAAGAGCTGAGACTGAGAAATTGAATAGCTTGGTCAAAAAGTTGGCGGAGGTATAGCTATGATGGGATGAATGGCCTGTAAAATTGAGATGTTTGATCCAATGATAATTGCAATAACAATAAAAACCTTCAGAATAATGCAGTTTTCCTTCCTTACAGAATTGGATAAACTGTCAGATACCAGTCTCAAAAGTTGATGAATGTCAAACAGTTGTCATTGAAGAAAGTCTCCAAAGTGAAGAATTAAGAAGCTTTCACTGCCACCCATCCATGCACCTGCCATGATCCTGAGCGTACAAATCGATATTTGGAATGCCTTATTTTCTCCACAGCTTGTCCATTGTGAACTGCTCGTCATTGTCAATCAAGATTTCTTCACGGCTCAGGATTAGTTCTGATGCCTATCAGGCTGAACTCTCACAATACTGACTAACAATTGGGTGGGTCAAGAATTTAGTGGGGAGTTGCATTCAAGTAGTACCTTGGCAGAGTCTCACCAGTAGAGAAGTTTCCCACCGAGGGGTAATGGAGGCAGATAGTTGATTCACTAGGGACAGTCAAGAGCCTGGGCGGCATTTGTGGTAGAGCACCCTTCCTGGAGTAAAGGTTGGAAACTTAACAGAAGTGGTCTCCCTGCCCATGTTCAGGGAGCCTTTAGCATAAGAGGTCTCATGTTTGTTATAGGGAGATGTGTGCAGGGAAAACTTCAGTGGGATTGGGATAGATGCAGAAGATGGGTTTCTCCTACATTACAACTCATCAATCGCTACATATTGTGTGCGGATCAGCATTAGCATCTCTGTGACTAGCTGGATGAAACTGCCAACATTGTAGACCTATCAGTACATGAGTTGGGTCAGCATCAGCTCAATCTAGACCTGAATCCTGAATGAGACGGCAAGCTCAGAAGCTGTTTCTGGGAATATTGCTGAGTTGGTCTGACTCTCAGCTCGTGTGGCCCTATAACTCCTCTGTGGGCCTGATGCCTACTTGAAACTTCTACCCGTTAACTCAATTTCTGTCTCCACAGATGTTGCCAGACCTGCTGACATACTTCCATGACTTGCTGTTTTATTCCAAATGGTTCAGTAGCAATTACATTGCCTCCCCACCCTTATCTTAATGTGAAGCTATTTGATGCAGTGAGTGTGCCTTTATCGAAATTTAGCTTTGCTTCTTCAGTGATAATTTTCATACCTGCTCCTTTCTGCCATTTCTCTGTCCGATTCTAGCCCCCACTGGAACAAGAGGTCAATAATTATGCATGCAGAAAAATAACAGCATATGCCTCAGTTTAATGTGCGTTGTGTTGCTTCAGACTGTGAGATAAATAAAATTAATAATCAGAAAGGCAATCAGAAGGCTGACCTTAGTTGGAATACAAAGAGTTAGAAGTGATACTAAAGATTGATGGTTAGACCATATCTGGAACACTGTGTTCCATTCTAGCACCATTCATTGGGAAGGATGCATTGGCCTTGGAGGGAAACAAAGGCATATTTTCCAAAATGACACCTGGATTATAGAGATGTAGGTGTTGCCAGTTAGGTTTGCATTAGTATTGCTCATTCCTAATTGTCCAGAGAGCAGTTTAGAGACAATCGCATTGCTGCGGGCAGAATTAGGCTATTCGGCTGGACAAATAATACAGCAGACTCGATTCTGCTCCGAATGGTCTCTGGGTCACATGTAGACCAGACCAAGTAAGAACGACAGTTTTCTTCCCTTGAGGGCATTAGTGAACCAGATGAGTTTTTCCAACAATGACCAACAGTATCATGTCATCGTTAGACTGATAATTCAAAATTTTTATTGAATTCAAATTCCGCCATCTGCCATGGTGGGATTCAAGGCCAGGTCCCCAGACGTTACCTGGGTCTTTCGATTAATAACCTGTGATAATACCACATGAGGATAGATTACGCATCTAGGGTTGTCCTTGGGATATGGAAGATTAAATGTCTATTTAATCAATCAGAAAGAGGAATTAGTTGAGTTGATGGAATCTCCTGTAAGAAATGTGGTGCTTGCTTTTAATGTAAAAACAGAGCAGTGTATGAATTTGAGTGCAATGCCTTCTCCTTGAAAATCCAGTCCATGGATTCAGTTACCATATTGGTGGAATTAATTAAAGTCAGATTAACATATCTGCAATATAAAACCAGTCTAATGGTGATGTTTATAAAATCTCATCTGGTTCACATTGGGGAAGGCAAACTGCTACTTTAACTCAGCCTGACCAACTTGTAATTCCAGATTTGCAACAACATGTTTGGGTCTTAACTATCTTCTGAATGCACCATTTGCCTTTCAGTTCAAGGGTAAGTTGGAATGGTCAGCAAATGCCCAAAACCTATGAATTAATAAATAAAAAAGATTATTTAGAATCTAAGATGGAGAATTATTTTGTTAACCCTCTGTATTAAGGGATAGATATCAGGTATATGGATTTGGGTCACAGATCAGCCATAATCCCACTGAATGATGGAACAGATATAAGAGCTACATTCTTCCATACCTATGGGTTATAATCCCTGTCAATGCTCAATTACACATTTGCTACACGTTGCAATTTGGCCATCATTTGTAGAATGACATAGCATAGAAGGAGACTATTCAATCCATTAAGCCAGATATTCTTTAAATATTAAAAACTGAAAGAACTGCGGATGCTGTAAATCAGGAACAAAAACAAAGTTGCTGGAAAAAGCTCAGCAGGTCTGGCAGCATCTGTGAAGGAAGAAACAGAGTTAACGTTTCGGGTCCGGTGATCCTTCCTCAGTTCTGAAAAAACTCTATTTTTACCTTCACAGATGCTGCCAGACCTGCTGAGCTTTTCCAGCAACTTTGTTTTTGATCCTTTAAATATTTCATCTTTCACTTGGTAATGCTATGTCATTGACAATAAAGAAAACATTCAAATCTTTGATGACTCTGACCAAATCTAGCCTCCTTAGTTGAAAATAAATTTCCTTTCAATTGTAAAGGTCATAAATGAGATCATCTTGAGTATACTAAGATAGAAATAATGTACAGGAGGTGTACCCCAAGAAATTCTCTCAAATATTTTTGTGTATGAGGTCATTTCATGGCATTCTACACTGGAGCTTTGAGATTGAGACTTGCTATCTGTAATCTTCAATTTTTATCTTGTTGATAAATGCAACTGAAATATGGAATCAACAGTGAATAATCAAAATACATCAGAGCTGTTACCTCATGTCACATTTTTACATTTATAAATGGGCTGTTGCTGATTTTAGGAGTGGGCTTCCAAAAAAAATTATTCATCTGCTATTTTTAACTGAGCTGTTAACTTTTGTTGGTGCGCTACTGTTGTTAAAATACATAATAAGGTAATGTCAAATGAAAACTTTTAAATGTTAGCCTGCTAATAATACAATCAGCAATTTCTGCACTTGCACACTGGAAGTAGACTTGATTTCCCTTTTGCACCTTTTATCACATTATAGAAAATGTTGATGCAGCAGCTGCTTTTGTGTGAAGCACATTTGCAATTGTGCTGAGCAGATTGCTGCTACAGCAAATACATCCAGTTAAAGCTCAAGTGTTTCTCAGCAGCTACCAATCCCAGCCTATCCTCTTCATCCTTATTGCCATTTTCAGTTTGGGTGTTTTTCTCAAAAGAAGCTTTGCAGATTGCAAGTGGAGAGAACTGCAAGAAATTCAGAGCTCCTGTGTTATAAAGATAATTGTTCATCATCAGGGAGAATGTCGCTGTGTATCAAAGATTTGATTTTGTCCAAATCTAAAATGAGCTGTGTGCATGTGTCTCAATTTCATACTTCAACTCAGGAATCATGTGGTAAAATTATATTCTCAAGATGTAGTCTAATTGTGCAATGTTAGGTGATTCAAAGTATTGATTTTTGCAGGAATGCTTTGTATCCACAGTTGTATCCTTTTTTTAAATGCAAGTTTGTCTATTAGAATAATTTTCTGATTTTTTTTACACTTCTCATTTCTGATTTGTGACATTACATGGGTTGAAGAAAGCGAGAGCCTCACGCACGACTGGAAAACTATTCGGGAGGCTTGAGGGTGTTATAGGGGCTAATAGTGACAGCTTTAAATAAGGAAAATGGACAGAGATAGTTCTGATGAAGGGTCTAGGCCCGAAACGTCAGCCTTTCTGCTCCTATGATGCTGCTTGGCCTGCTGTGTTCATCCAGCTCTGCACCTTGTTGTCAGAGATAGATAGGTTTGTGATTAGTAAAGGTATCAAGGATTACAGAGAGAAGCAGAGGAATGAGGTTGAGAAACATATCAGCCATGATCAAACGGTGGAGCAGTCTTGATGAGCTGCATGGTCTAATTCTGCTCCTGTATCTTATGGCCCCCACTCTATTATCTGGTTATTCACATATGTTACAATGTAATAACAATCATCCGATGTGTACCTCAAACAAGTTACTAAGTGAGTTACTGCCTCCCCTTCTTTCTGTCACATCTGAATGAAAAAGTGACTTTGGAGCACGTCATTTGGCATCACCGTGTAATTGTCCCTTCAAAGCTGTCATTGCACATTCATAAGCTGCCTTTCCTCCTGCAGGCGACATTGTGAAAGCTTATCTCACCTAAGCTTTGAACAGTTATAAGGCCCATTGCTGTACTCTCTGCACCACTGTCGTCCCCGTACTAAAAACAAATCACGGCTGTCAGCATACACTTCAAACTTCCATTTCACACTGATGGTACAGATATTCGCCTGACAAATGGCTCTTGTTCCTTGGACTGCGAACATACCAGCTCCAGCAAACGTCAGGACATAATCCTGAATGTTTACTTGGATATTTCCACCTGTGCACTTTCTCTCAACACCAATATCACATCTTGGGCTGAAGGAATAACATTTGAAGTCACAAAATTTTAAAGAAGACCAACTCTGTGTATTTAAGACTGAGATTGAGAGATTTCTGATCAGTAGAAGAATCAAGGATCAGGGAGAAAGGTTGGGAAATTGGGCATGAAGAATGTTGGATCAGCCTTGATCTTATTGAATGGCGGACCTGGCTTGAGGGGTTGGCTCACACACTCCTTTTCCTATTTCTTCTGGAATTATGGTGTTCTAATTCTTCTTCAATGTGCTGGAAGTCAGAGGACTTCCCATGAAGTAGACAAGGCGAGAATAGTGTGCTGGTTAGAAAAGGACCCTAGGTTTCCATGTGCTTTGTGAAAGGTCCACTTGTACTTGTATGCTTTGGAAAATTTGACGATGACTGGACCTTAATTTCTGAGTGCAGCTCCAACAATGTTCTCAAGAA